GGCTTCAATTGGATGGAGCTCCGCCTCATTATCACTGCGAAGTTCGGCAATTTTTAAATGACAACTTTCAAAACAGGTGGATTGGCAGAAATGGGTTTCAAAATTGCCTCCCCAGATCTCCGGCCTTAACTCCACTAGATTTATTTTTGTGGGTACATAAAAGGTATTGTCTACCATACGCTTCCGACAACTTCACACGATATGAAATCACGCATAAGAGACGCTTTTAAAACTGTAACTCCGCAAATGTTGTCCAGAGTTAGCAGTGGTTTTGAAAAAATAATTTACAAGTGCCTGAAAATGGACCGTCAACATTTCAAACATTTGTTATAAAGAATTTGCCTTTGTTTTATGTTATTGTTGATATGTTATTTAACCTTTTAATAAAAAAAAAACACCAAATGGTGCACAGAACCATTATTTGGTGTATTTTGTAAAAAGGCAAAAACTTAGTCATCAACATCATAGTACCATTCGATAGGTAATTAAAAATTGCATTTCCTGGTAAGCTAAAAAATATAGGGTTGTATTTAAATTAATCAAGTTATAGCCACTTATTTGATTAGTTTAAATTTGTGGACACCCTGTATGAAATGGCAAGTTTATTATCATTGGGATATAAAATATGATTTCTTGTTACACCAAACTACGAATTACATTTACATCACTTAAATAATTCTAAAGAATTTGACACATGAAAATAATATTAAATTTTGATAAAATTGGAATTATTTAATAAGCCTTTAGATTTAGACATTATAAATCTTATTAAAACAAACACTTATTTTGATTAGAGAATCCAAAAATGCAATAATATTTGGGTATGTCATTTAGAAAAACACAACTTTGATACTTTTAGGGCTTTTGGGACACTCGGTACATTACAAAAATATTTTTAAAATGTGCTCCAATGATAGGCGTCTGTGGATTCATCGAATAATACTTTGCAAAAAACAAACGGGCTAGCCGCAAACGTCCGTGCCGTATAGCGTGAATAACCCTGTACAACGTGAACATTTAGTCAAATACCGGAGTTTTTAACTGAGGCGTCTCTATTTAACGTATAAAAATTGAAGTCGGGAGGTTGAAAATTAAGTCGATTTTCATCGATCTGATAAGTCAGACAAATTTAAGGTTTCAAGAAGGCAAAGATCTAAAAGAACGTTGATTTTTACAAATCATGAGTTTGTGTAAATTTTAAATCTGTTGATGGCGTTGTTGTCTCGCCGAAACGTAATGAAATAAACTACGTTTCAAAATTTTTACTTCACACTTTAACTGAGACCCAGGAAAGATAAGAATATCATAACAAGTACACGCAGTCAGGAAAATAAATCAGTTGAACATATAATTGATAAATGGCCCTTAAAATAAATCTAAAATCATGTAGAAAAAGTCATCAACATTTTCCCAGCAACGGAACTGAGTTACTACGTCGGAGCGTTGGGTTAGCGCACCAAGGTATTTGCGTAGCACTGCGCCAACTCCTAAAAATTCATTGGGTTACCCAGGCCTAAGTTCTGGTGATCTGGGTGGCCTGGCCATTGGTCCAATTCCGTTTACCCCACTTAATTTATTTCATTCATCCCCAGCCGGCCAATCGAACGTAGCCAATTGCGTTGGCGGACTCGTCTTTATCTGTGGGCGGAGGTGATCTTTCTTTTTAACTGGCGCGATTTTCCCAATAATTGGTTCAGGTACGGAAAAAATTAAAATATTAGATGAAATAGTTTGAGCAATTCGTAGAGTTTTCGTTGATGAGAAACATCACAGATTGATTTGATTGATCACAATTGATTGACAATGTTTTTAATTTTCACTTGAAAACGTTGAGTTGTACAGAGAAATGCGATTCTCTATCCCCTAAACTTTCCGCTTTGCAAACTGGACCACCCTGAAAATAGTTTACTGTGTTCGAAAAATAATAAAATCTTTATAAATGAAAAAAAATTCTAAATATATACATAATACAAATACAACTATTTTTACGCTCGAAAACACGTGCCGAATCTAATAGGGCAACAACAGAGCAAATAAAGAAGCAGAATTTCCTCGTGTTTACGGCCTAAAAATCCTGCCCTAATTGGACCACCCACGATGGGACATCAGATTAAACCTTTAATATTATCTGTTTAGCTCGGACGTATTGAAATTAGCTTTTCTGTATCCGCTTCTCTGTATTGTCGCGCTTATGCAGCTTTAGGTATTTTCGACGCATATATTTCGCGACTATAAAAACTCAGTTTAAGATCGAAATCCTTACTGACCATCCTGTATATTTGCAAAAAAACGTTGTCAAATTCAAGTGACATCAACAAAAAAAGAGTAAAAATTAAAAACTATAAAAATTCCAGTGAAACTGCATCAATATGCGAGAAATAGTGCACATTCAAATCGGCCAGGCAGGCAACAACATCGGGAACAAAGTGCGTAATACGATATCTTACAGTCTTTGGATATATAAGAGCTTTAAAAAAAAACTGAAAAGATCGTTTGACTCTTCCAGTTTTGGGAAGTTGTATCTGATGAACATGGAGTGGACCCAACAGGGCACTGGCACGGAGACTCCGATTTGCAGCTGGAAAGAATCAATGTCTACTATAATGAAGCTGCTGGTGGTCGATTCGTACCAAGAGCCGTCTTGGTCGATCTGGAGGCCAGTACGATGGATAATGTCAGATCTGGGCCATTTGGAAGGTACTGAGACCAAATACCACTCGTTTATAAAACTCATATCCCAAAAAAGTTCGTAAAGGAAACACGATGATAATACAACAAGCACACATGCATGAGGCTGCAAAGAACATTTCTTAAGGGCAAACTAAAATCAATAGACCAAACACAACGCTGGATAAATAACTTAGTTTGAAGCTTGTGTGAAATTTTAGGCTTTTTAGTCCAGATTCGTTCGTTTTTGGGCAAGGTGGTGCGGGTAATAACTGGGCTAAAGGAATGTACACCGAAGGTGCCGAGTTGGCAGACAGTGTTCTGGACGTTGTACGGAAAGAAGCTGAAGGCTGCGATTTACTCCAAGTAAGAACAGGCTGTAAAAGGGCAAACAACGTAACTAACCCTTTGGTAGACTAAAAATAGCGGCACGTTTTCATGGCTAATCAACGATGCCGCTTTATTTTATCACCTCGAGTTGATTGCATATTCATCAAATAATGGAGGGTAATTGATGATTACCATCCATTTAAAAGGCTGAATAGTAAAGGAATTAAAACGTATTCAAATTATGTCCATATAATTGTTTCGTAACTATTCTAGACGATGGTTAAATTTTTTATTGGTTTTTCTTACACGTAACACAAATATCATTACTAACACAGCTAAATTATATGCTAAAAAAGTTATATATACATTGAGTTCTACTATACTTTAACGAATTATTCTTCTTTAACTAATTAATGGGTATTTTCGCAGATGAAGAGCAGTATAAACGTTCAATGATGTATAGCTGTGTTTATTGGCTATTCGTTTGTGCATGGATTTTATAAAGTAAACCAAAATTATATTATTTAGAAATCTTGTTATGATATTGAGCTAACGACCATTATTTTTATTTTTTACGATAAAACATTACTTTTTAATTATTTTACAATGGAATTTTCAGTGTAATATCTAGTCATTTGATCTGATCGAAGTAGGTTTCCTAATGCTTTCAACTTTACTTAAAAACTTTTGCCATTAAGTGTTAAAATTCGGAATGATTTCTGTTCCACTTCAATTAGGAATATTCGCTTTTTAATTGGATTTAGTTGGATCATATTTTGAATTGAATGGTTGGGAAAATCCAGAAATTTCGCTTGCTAATTTGTCTCACGTTTACATACAAATTTTTTCTTAATTAATTTTATGATGAAGTTCTCGCTTTCAGTAAATATCGCAAACGCCAGCCAACATTGTAATAATCTCTCCTAATGCCTATGTCGAACTTTATCCCTTATGTTGCATCATATAGCACAATAAAATGCAGTGGGTTTTATTTTAAAAATAGTTGTTGAGAAAATATTATTTCTCTCTGCGGATTCCAATTATTTGCATTGCATTTTTGCCATTCTTTTTCATATTCCACAACAACAATAATTTTCAGTGAGATCATGACAGAATGTGTCTTAATTAAAAATTAACTTGAAGTGGAGAGAACAATTAAGCCATAACTAAAAAGAATTGAAGCTCCAAGAAAATTTCATGTCAATATTGCTTTCTGTTTAATTCTTTAGATAATTTTCTGTTTTTTAGGAATATTTTTAAATAAAGATTAGTATTCATTTTCTAGATGCATGAGATAGATCGGAGCGAAACATACACCCTTAATATCTTTCTTGTACTCGAAAATATGAAAACTCGGAAAGGCCCGCTAATTTTATTTGTAAGGGGGACATTTTAAATGAATATTTTCGGTTTTCGGATTTGGAAAAAACCTTAATGGTTTTCGGGGAAAGACGGGAGAAATTTATTTTCGTTTTGGTACCGAATTCGACGCTAAAAACGTTTTTGTAAAATTTTTACAAAGCTATAAATTTATCTTGTAATTTTTCGCGTAAAAGTCCTCCAGATCGTCAATATTTTTAAGTGAAACTCTACAAAATAGAACGGTTTTGAGTAGAAAGGAAAGCAAAAAAAATTCGGTCAAAACTAAAAAAAACACATTTTTTAACAAATTCTCGGTATTCAGCGGAATCAGAACTCAAATCTCTTCAGACGAGATTTCCAAATAATCTCACTTTCGCTTATTCGGTTCGTTTTTGACAGAAAATTATTTAATTTTTGTTCCAAATTCGAAGCTGGAAAGGGATTTCAAAACTTTTTGCAAAGCGGCAAAGAATTCGAAATTTATTTTATAATTTTTTGCGGAAAATACCTTTACATTGTCAGCATTTTTA